TTATTTTGTATAATTTTTTATTACTAATTAATTGGGACATAAAATCAATGAAGATTTGAATTCGTAATGTTTGATGTAGTCAACAAATATATATATATTTTCACGATGCTCATTAAAAAAAAAGTATTTCCTTTGGGAATGTGATACATTACACGCTCGCATAAAGCGAACACTGATTTATATTATCCCCTTGAGAATCAACATAATTTAAACAATACATATTGCCTTCAAAATATTATGTTTCATTATTGTGCGTATTTAGAAATAATTTGTATTTTGTAATAAGTGCCACTTGCTTTAACAAATTGCAATTTAATTAATTAATTAATATAATTGGATTTAAATTTTTTAAATAATTAATTTTATTGCAATTTAATAAATCTGCAAGTGAAAGTAAAATTTACAAAAATTGAAAATTATTTAGAGAAAAAAAAATTCCCAACTGTTCTTTCGTTTAAAAATCATTCAACTGAAAGAAATTGACACGTGTGGTATCGAGCTTGAAATCGATGTTCACACAAGCAGGTACAGAGAATTACATTTTGAAATAAATCCGAACGTTGAAAAATTAACGTATTTTAACGTTTTGAAAATAAATTCTGTAATTTTATGTTAAATAACATTTTTAACTTTAATTTCTATTATTATTTTTTACTAGTAATTAATTAAGAATTTTTCTTTTTTGATTTTAAATATTTATAATTTTGTAAATTTTAAATTTTTTTTCTCCTGGTATTATTTATAATTAATTTTTTTGCGGTATTAGATTGCGCGCATTAATTATTATCATTTTTCGCATGTTGTGTTTTAAAAAAAAAATTATAATTAAAAGAATATTTCAGAAAAGATATATAGTGAAAATGCACTTGCGTCATAATAAGAAGTCGAGACAGACTTTATTTTTCAAGCATTCAAGTTACACCTGAAAAAGTTCTTTTGTATTCTTTTCTCTTCTTCTTCTCCTTGCTTTGTGTGTTATTTTCTTCTTAAAATATATATCTAAAGTTTCCTAAAAGAAAATTATTTTTCTCATTGTAATATATTTTTTTAAAAAAATATATTTCACAAAAATAAATAAATATTTTCTCAAGTTTCAAAGAAATTGAAAATTGTTTTATAAAGTTGGAAAATGTTTTTTTTTTCTGAAACTTGCTTTTTAAGGGTTTCTTCAACCACTTTTTTTTTCTTAAATTCCGTTTTTTTAAGGAGTACAGGGAAAATAATAATTTGTCGGCAGTTCAGTGTTTTGCTAATGACAGTAATGAACAAGTTAAGTGAAGTCTAGTTTTGTAGTGTGTGTATGTGTAGGGCGCCCCGACGTCGGTTCTGGGGCGCAGCATCACAAAGGTTAGGGGAAAATTCAGCCAGGGAGCAAACTCTATACCATAGGCACTGTGTGTGCGAGGAAATGGGAATTTACCGAAATCCCATTGTTCGTTGCTTACTAGACAGATTTACGAGCTTCGCGAATTCTCCTTTTTTCTCTTTTTCTTTTCTTTCTTTTTTTTATTATTTTTCTTTCTACATTCGATCCCATAAAATTTAGAGCACTCTCACTTTCCCGCGCGCATCTCTTATTGTCTCAGCCACCACAAAAATGTGGTTTATAATTTCACGATGTTCAAATATTTGAATTTGCAATATTTCCGCAAATTTTAATAATTAACATTTTTATTTATTTACAAATTTTCGTATTTTGATAATAGTTAATTTTGTTTATATAATTTTATAATTTATAAAATAAATCAGAAAAATGTTATAAAAAAAAATTGTTTATTAAAAAAATTCGGAAAATTACAATTTCAAGGGATAAGATTGAATTTTTAAAAAGATCTTTATTAGTGTACTTGTTGCTGAAAGCTCTTGCGCACTGAAAGATATTCATATCTTAAGTATATATATATTCTTTAATATATACCAAAAGTGCTTCTCATTTCTCTGTATATCATTTTGAAAAAAATTTTCATAATTTTCTCGACATAGGATTTATTTGTATTATTTTTAATTTTAATGAAAATTTATTATTTAACAAAATATCAGTAAATTTATCCCTTGGTTTAAAAAAAATGTAATAAAAAATATAAATCAATTTATCCAAGTCAAGGTAAAAATAAAATATTTATAACATTTTTTTTTCAATGTTTCGACAGCTCAACTATCATCATCAGATGGTAAAAACAATTTTTTATTTAATATAAATTTCTATATTAAATCTCATCAACATTGTATAACTGGTTGTCGAAACTGTCGAACCGTTACAAAAAAAATTATTATTTTATTTTTTACTTTGATGGAATATTTTCCAACATTCAATAATTTTTTTTTCGTAAAAGTACCATTTTTTTAATTTCTGCTTTTTTATGAAAATTGTTATTACCTAAATTTGGCCTTTATTGGAAAAAAGTGCGAAACTTATTAACGTGCCAGCTGTTATTAATGAAATGGAAAGCAATTTGAATAGTGGAATTGGACGTTAGTGAATTAATTGCACATTTTCCTCATAAAAGATTGAAAATGTTTCTTTTTCTGTTATTATATGACTTTTTTTTTATTTCCGAAACAAACAATTCAATTATTTACGCCTTTTAAGTCTTTGAATGAAAAGGCAATATGAGGAGCTGGAAAGTAAAACTCGCTCTCCGCTCGGATGGACTCCGTAGAGCCAGTCAAACATTTGAAAAAGTGATGAAAATTGAAATTCAAAATTTTGAATTTTGAAAAGTACTACATTATAGGAAATTAAAAGGCGCATCTTTTTTTCCTTTGAAATTTTTTTATAAAACGAATATTTTAGTTTCTAGAGACCAAAAACTGAGAAATTTAAATTGTTAAATTTAATTAAGTTTTAAAACATAAATCATCGTATCTCCGACAATTATTAATGAATTTGATTCAAATTTGAGATGTACACGTAATAGGGTCTACTAAAGGCGACAAAATAATGAAAAATTAAAAAATCATTAATTGTTTAAATTTTTTTTAATAAAAATTGTGACCAGTTGATAATAACGTTTTCTTACTTTCATTGACAAAAAGTCTGCGGGGAACTTTTTAGTTTAGAAAACTTCCAGTGAGACATTTGTTTATTACTATATAAGGAAGTTTTCTGTAAAATATTAAACCAATTCATTGAAAACTTTAAAAATTATTCAAGTTTTAAGAAAGCGCGGTCGACGCGCAAGTAAGTCCTAACGCTATTCGTACAGACAGCTGTTCCGTGCATGAAATATAATTAGATTTTCACATTAAAGTATAAATTTCTTTATTATTATTATTATTATTGCCTATTCAGAATTAAAGTTTGTTGACAATTAATACTACAATGTTCAATTCTGTAATTACCATGTTATTTTATTGAACAAATATAATTTACAAATTTTTTGTCATTTTGGATAAATGGAAAATTAACGTTCTGTAAAATAAATTTTTTTTAATTCAATTTTAATTATATAAAATAAAATTTTGGTTTTAGGATTGTTCAGTTTTATAAACTTTAGAAAGTTTGGTGTAACCTTTTTATAATAGAATTACTTTATTAAAATTGTTTTAAAAAGATGACTCATTAAATATATGTTACTATATTGATAAAAAAGGCAATCATATTTACATATAAAATTATTTTATATATCATCATTATAAAGTGTATGTATCGAAATTAAGTGAAATAATAAAAAAAAAATTTGAAAAAAATTAGTAAATATAAGGTAATAAAAAAATTTAACATTAACAATGTATATACAAAGAAACTGTTGAACTGTTTGTTAATAAATAATAACAAAAAAATGTATTATTAGCATCATTTTTAAAATACATATAATTTTCCATTTATCCAAAATGACAAAAAATTTGTAAATTATATTTGTTCAATAAAATAACATGGTAATTACAGAATTGAACATTGTAGTATTAATTGTCAACAAACTTTAATTCTGAATAGGCAATAATAATAATAATAATAATAAAGAAATTTATACTTTAATGTGAAAATCTAATTATATTTCATGCACGGAACAGCTGTCTGTACGAATAGCGTTAGGACTTACTTGCGCGTCGACCGCGCTTTCTTAAAACTTGAATAATTTTTAAAGTTTTCAATGAATTGGTTTAATATTTTACAGAAAACTTCCTTATATAGTAATAAACAAATGTCTCACTGGAAGTTTTCTAAACTAAAAAGTTCCCCGCAGACTTTTTGTCGATGAAAGTAAGAAAACGTTATTATCAACTGGTCACAATTTTTATTAAAAAAAATTTAAACAATTAATGATTTTTTAATTTTTCATTATTTTGTCGCCTTTAGTAGACCCTATTACGTGTACATCTCAAATTTGAATCAAATTCATTAATAATTGTCGGAGATACGATGATTTATGTTTTAAAACTTAATTAAATTTAACAATTTAAATTTCTCAGTTTTTGTCCTCTAGAAACTAAAATATTCGTTTTATAAAAAAATTTCAAAGAAAAAAAAAGATGCGCCTTTTAATTTCCTATAATGTAGTACTTTTCAAAATTCAAAATTTTGAATTTCAATTTTCATCACTTTTTCAAATGTTTGACTGGCTCTACGGAGTCCATCCGAGCGGAGAGCGAGTTTTACTTTCCAGCTCCTCATATGAAAAAGTGAATTTAAACGAAAAAAAAACAGGTGAAAATAGAATAAGTGAATTCCTATGAAAATTATTTTTAAAAATTGAATTTTAATTAATGTTCGCAATATGATAAAATTCCCTTTACATATAAAATCAGTGTTTATTAACTTTTCCATTTACCTTTTTAGTTTATATATGTTATATTTGAAAATATTGTACACGTGGAAATGGAAATTTTTACTTCATATGCTTTTTGGATGAAAGGATAGAATTAATTACATCGGGTATATATATATTTACATATATATAAATATATATATATATACAAATATATATATATATATACAAAACGAAAACTTCTTCAAAGGAAGCCTTCTATATAACGAACATTTATTTTCGCTGTTTCAGATTATTCAACATGCACACAAATTAGTGATCAAGGAATTTCAAATGAGCGAAGAGAGTGAGGAGAGGTATGTTTGTATAGAGCTAGAAAAGCGAAATAAGCGCGTTCAAGAAACATGTAAAATATTCTCCCTTTATAATAAGCATTTCGTGAGAAAATACGGCTTTGATATTTTCATTTTTGAACAATTTTTCTTTTTTTCAAAATTATTTTTTTTTTAGTTTTAATTTATCATTTTGCAGAGGGATTATATTTTTCATGTTTATAAAAATGTAACATAAATTATTTTTTGCATTTTCTAAAAATTTTATAGTTATTTTTGCTTATTTGACTGTATTTGTATTTTTTTTAAAGTATGCTACTGACACGAGACCAAATAAGTGGTGATTCATTTTTCTAACGAAATACTTGATTTTTACTACCTATATATAAAAGTAATTTGAAAAGCAGCGCATATATAGCGGGGGGAGTTGCAAAAGAAAGAAATTTCAATATTCGAGTGTGAGTTTCTCATATTTTAATTGCAGCCAAGAGATGTTGGGTTCAAGTGGCTAGTAGGCTGCAAAACCTGCAGGGAATGGCGCACCCATTAAGTAGTACACACACTTCTAAGAGTTGAAATGGGAGAAATTCAAGTAGCACGATCAAGGTTCACTCATACAAAGATTCAAACATTTCGATTCTATATAACGCTTTTTTTTTACAACATTTGTCTTATACTTGACTGCCACTTGATATAGAATATTCTAAAATCAAATCAAAAATTTTTTTATAGATTTTATTTTTTTATCTCATTAAATTATTCACATTTTTTTTCTATTCCTCACAAAGAAGCTTCTTTTCATTTCTCAAAATAATTTTCGTTTCTTTATAATAATTTACAATCAAGTCGAAATACCGCTCTCATTATACCCAACGATTTAACTTTAATATTTTTAGTAAAGACATTTAAATAAACGGTATAGTAAATAATGCCCACTGACTTATCAAGCAGATTCACTTTTATTGCTGATGATAAAACACACTAGTAAAAAAAAAAAAAACATAAATACTTTCCCCTTTCGCATATAATTTTTGATATATACATATATTCACCAATCATTCAATCGAAAATATAATATATCGGTCGTAATCTTTTATTACCTATATTTCTTTACACATATAAATTTTATACCTCTTCGTCTCATCGAGAACTGTATGTCAATTTTAAACATTTTTAAACGATATCAAATAATTCAAATTGTCAAGATTTATATTTTCTTTTTTGACCCATTTTTTTTATTGTTATATATAAATTTTTAAATCTCATTTATTTTTAACTTTAATTTTTCACTAATCAATAATTTAAAATCTACTGCTTTTACATTAATGCAATTTTTATATTTTAAGTGAAGATATACGTTGAATTAAGATTGATAAATTAGGAGTGACATATATAGAGCGAGGTTATATTAGTTTTTCATCATGTTAGAATAATGAAGAGAAATTTATTTCGATTAATTAATGATTGTATTTTAGGATATGTGCACGACCTTTTTTTAAATATATATTTTTTTGCAAATTTTATTTATAATTTACGATTATATTCACACGCACGCAAAGTTCTAACACATTTTTCTCGGTATTAAACATCAATGAATATAATCGAGATGGTTTGAAGATTACGCTTTTCATGTATACTTATATATACATGTATACCAGTCTCGTGAAAAATCTCGCGCGCGATAATATGGAAATTATGTTTCCCAATGTCGTAAAAAAAATAAGCTCTTGAAAAATATTATTACATTAAAATCATGAAACTCGTTTTTTTAATTAATTTTAGAATATTCTTATCAATGACATGATTACATAATAATTATGCAAATATTTTTAGCGCATTAAGATAATATAAAAAATTTATTAATTATTTTAATTATTTGTTTAATAAATTATTTTTAATATTAATTACGTAATAATAATACAGTAATACGTAATAATAATAATGTTAACGAATGATGGTAAAACAGTTTTTTTGAAAAATTAAAATATAGAAAATTACCGACACAGAAATCTACCTTACCGACTGATAGTAAAACAGTTTTTAAAATAAGAATATAAAAATTACCCATAGAGAAATCTACCTTACCGAGTGATGGTAAAAATTTCTATAATTTTCTCAAAAAAATTTACTATCAATCGGTAAGATAGATTTTTCTATCGGTAATTTTTTATATTCTTATTTTAAAAACTGTTTTACCATCAGTCGGTAAGGTAGATTTCTATATCGGTGAGTTTTTATATTTATATTTTTCAAATTTTTTAACATATTTGTTAATATTTTAACCATCTACAGAATAGTAACAACAACAATAATAAATAATAATAATAACAATATTAATAATAAATGTTCAACAATTATAATTTAGAAGAAAAAATGAGTGGGAAAATTAAATATGAATTGAAATAATTTTCCAGTCCATTAGCATGAAGCAAATGATCATTAGCATAGCCAATCACGTAATGTGTTTTGAGTCCTAAAAAATAGAAGCCTTATATTCAGATAATATATCCTTTTACCTTTATTCAACTGCACGCTATGAAGATCACTTCTTGGTTCCTGCTGGCTCTAATCCAACTTGGAAAATACGATGTCTGCACTGACGTTAAGGGCTGCAGCTCGTAAAATTCATGATTGATCTCGCTGTCCAAAGCTATTTAAATGATGAACCATTGATGAAAAATGAAAAAGCAGACTCACGAGCAATTAAAGTGAGAAATTCCAAACTATATAGAGACGTGTTCTGAAAAATAAAAAAATAAAATCCCTTTTAACGCCATCTGATAAAATACATATATAAAACTTTTTTAGTCAATTAATTATTATTTTTTAATGGCAAATCATGAATTTATCAATAAGAATATATATCAGAAACAATAATTGTTTATTAAAAAAAAAAAAGAAGACACTTAATCAGTGTGTGTGAATTGTTCATTATCATAAATCTCTTCTTCTATTTTTACGGAATAAAGTCTCTTTTTCAACGAGAGCTTTGGATAATTACCCAACTCCTTTAGTTTCGGATTTTTCAAACAGAATAAATTACCCCAATTATTGTACTTAGCGTTTTAATAGGTAAATTTTTTTCTAAATTATCTCCTCTGCTTCTGACGTGAGAGTATTGAAAAATTCAGATATTCATAATTTTTCTCTCCAATAGTGAAAGAAAATAATTATCAAAAATTTTATATCGAAAATATGTGCCTTGCAGTGAAAATTCTGACCATAGAAAACATTTCTTAAAATTTTTAATTTAATTTTAAAAAATGTTTTAATTTGAATTAAATTTGATTTAATTTAAATTTATTATACCTAAATTGTGAAATACTTTTCAAATAAATTTTGGTAATTATTTTCTTTATCATCAAAAGAAATGCATTATTTTGGGAAATTAAACAATTTACTCTCAAATGCAGTTTCCAGCATACAATATAGATATATTATATGAGATCGAGTTTTATACGTTTAATGAACAGAATATCGTCCCTAAAGTTTATGCAATATAAGTTTGTACAATAAATATCGTGTTCCGAATTTCCTGCGCTTCATAAAGAGTGTAAATTATATTATATACTTCTATAAACTCATATAGTTTCAAAATTTTTTGTACAAAATTATGTACAGAATTTTTGTTAATGAAAAAGTTATTAATGCACATAGTGTATATAATTTATAGAGGTAAATATAATCCCCAAAAAAGGACTTGAGACGATTACAAATTTTCAGGAAATAAAAAAAAACAAAGTACACATGAAATTCCTTCATGAAAAATAGTTGTTGAAAGTTTAACTCGTGAAAATTTCTAAATAATACCTATTAAAACTGTTGAAGTTTTTTTTAATATAATCAAAAAGAAAAATGTTATTTTCTATCCGTTAGTATTTTCAGAAAATTATGGAAACAGTTTTTATTTTCAAAAAATTCAGAATTGAATTTATTTTTATTTTGAAATTTTTTTTTGTAAATAAAAACTAAGAATTTCTCATATATATTTATATGGGTATACATTTATGAATTTCCTAACAAATTCCGGATACTTTTGCGGTACTAAAATTTTGGGTGATATTCTATAAACGGAATTTAGTTTATACTGCATCGTGAAATTGCAAGTATAGTTTTGTGTTAAATATACAACATTTGAAACGACTTTCCAAACAAACTGAAATTTACTTCAAAGAAAAAAAAGGAAAAAAAATGAAAAAAAACAGTTCATATATATTCACGCTTGAAAATCTTTTTCCAATTAAACTTTTTCCCCATTACGTTTCAACCATGAGAGCAAACTTTTATTTTCTTCTTCTTAAATTGTAATTTCTTTTCTTCTTAAAGTGTGTTTTTCGTTCTTCTATATATAAAATTGCCATTTTGTATTGAGAAGTATTGGAAAAGCAATTATCACAGCTTCTTCAGGTAAAATTGACTCAAACATTATAGAAAAGCAAAGAGCAAAAATTGCACGTGTCCTATGGAATTTTATTTGGCATTTTATTTTAATTTTTCCAGTCCCAATAAATATTGGTACATTAGTTATTTAAAATTGATTGATTAATTAATTAATTAGTAATTAATAAAAATTAATTAATTTGTTTGTTTTTAATTAGAAATTTTCAGTTTTTTTTGGTAATGAAACTGCTTGTCAAAATTATGATTAATTTTGATTTTCAGAGGTTGTCGTCGTAACGAGATACCAATGACGGATTGGACATGAGTTGGTCGCCCAGATGGTCGCCATTGCGGGTTCTGATTTTCATTCTTCTCGTATACAGTGAGTACATATATATGTATCTATATTTGAACGGTATTTAATTAAATTAATTGTACATCACTGATTAAATGCTTATAATTAAGTAAATTTATAAATGAAATCCCGTACATATAAAAAGCTTAATTAATTTTTATTAATTAATTAAAAATAATGACGAATAATCAAACCATTATTATATTATTAAATGAATGATGGTCCAAAATATCGTTTATTTATCCAATTTTGAAAAATATGAATTATATAATTTTTTGTAAAACTGTTAACTTTGGGCATTAATGAACACAATATCTCACTTAATTTTATTTTTATTGCTTATTGCTTTCATTTCTTTCAACTGATTTCGAGCTTTTATGTCTTTCAACGTTTAAGTTCTCGCTACAAATGCGCACAATAGAATCGTAAAGAAAGAGTAAAGTTTTAATGGTTCAGGTGGAAATCTGAGAAACTTTTGAAAATGCTTCTGCGAGGAAAAAAGAATTAAATTATATGAGGGATGTATCATAGAAGAAATTTTAATGGAAACATTATTATTGATTTTAAATTTTCTCCCAGTATCCTTATTTTATTTATTGAGTTATGAAATAATAATTATTATTATTCAAAAGTATAATATGAAAGAATATTACAAGAATAGAAGAAATATTCGTATATAATCACGTTATGTAAAATTAAACGAACTAAGAAATTCAAATTAGAAAAGATAAGAACGATAAAAGAAAATCCTTTTTTATATGTACGTGATCGTGTGAACAGATATAAAAGTTGGCTAAAAACTTTTTAATTCGTCTTTTATCTACTGTGGACGCATCGTCGCATCCGCTATCTTAATTAGCAGTAACCACAAGTGCAAATTCTCTCAAGAACAAAATCAAATAAAAGAAAGTGGATGAGGTGTGAAAAAAAATCAGGAAAAACTTCTTTACTAAAGTTCCTCCTCGGATTTATTCCCTCGATACCATATTATCCCAATAGTAAAATATTTCATTTCGTTTTTTGAATTCTCCAATTCCACGAAAATAATATCATTTTTATTTATTTCTGCTTCTTTCTAATTTTCCAAAATGAAAAATTTAATTAATTTTAATAAAAAAATTTCTGTTATCGAATATTGAAGAATGAGAAAAACGAAATAATTAGACTAAATTGACTAATTGGAGGGCAATTGGAAATGTTTAAATATGTAATTTGAAGAGTATTTTGCACCCTTGACTGTCACTCAATCAGGAAACTTTACAACCACTGAATCCTTATAAGTTCGTTGTGCTCCCATAGGCCACTTTGCCGCTAAACAAGTAAAGTGTAAACGCAGACGAAGGCAAAGTTTCTTAGCAACTTTTGTCCTAATAGGATTCTCAGGTGCTGCCGGAATAACTGAGTACAAATATCTTACTTGAATTGTTCGCCAGCACCTGGTACGTTGCAGCCTAAGTCTTTATCCATGAACTACTTTGTCTTCGCTTCCAATTTACATTCAAGAAAAATATACAATAACTTTTCTCATTAATTGCACCTACCAGATTGTTTTCAAAATATTATTATTTATCTCGGAAATATATTTCTCAATATAGCTATTATAGTTCAAAAAATTTTTCAACATTTTATCACAAAAATGTTCCAAAAAATTTTTTGAAAATTTTTTGTATTTAGAAAATTTTTTGTTTAATTTATTTTCATGTATTTTGAAAATGTTTTCGTTTCTAATTTTTAATAATTTTTTAGACATATTTTTGGGGAATAGAACAATTTTTTTTTTGGAGGGTCATATGTGAAGTGAAATGTCATTTCTGGAATCACTCCCCATCTTTTTATTCCCTTTCTGTGTAATGACTGGCAAAAATGAAATCCTACCCTATTATTGTTAAGTATAGATTCCTTTGTTTGATAGACTCATTATGATGTAGAAAGAGAATTAAAATGTTAAAAAGCATTATGTTGTTTTCTATAAGCTTTATTTTAATTCAAATTGGTAGAATTATTTTATGTTAAAGATTTAAAATATTCAGGCTAAATATATATTTAACTGAACCGATTTTTAATTTTTAAATCTACTTTATTATTACACTAAAAAATAATTTATTTGATTTATATAATCGGTTACTTGACTCTTATCAAATAAATATTTATTTGTAGTAAATTATTATTGTGTGTATTAAATAATTACTATTTGTATTAAATATTTGAATTAAGTAAATTCTTTTTAGTGTAATTAAAATTATAAATTTATAATTACAATTATAATTAAAATTTGTAATTGAAATTATAATTAAAATCGTAACTAAAATTATAATTAATATTACAATTAAAATTTCCAAGAAATGTAATGTCATTAAGACAGTAAAAATTTGTAACTTTTGTAATGATTCTTCAATATAGACTATTGCGATTGAACTTTCTAGTGTAAGGGTGACATTCTCGGTTTCGGATTACAAGTATTAAATTCCTAAGGCTTCGGGAGCAACTTCATTAGATACACACGGCTTCAGAGACACGACCCCTAAAAAAAGGAGAAAAATCAGTATACTCCCATATATCTTGCTAGTTGTATTCCACCCTCGAAGCCATCGCAAGAGGGTGGTGGAACATGTGGTGGTATACGCAGACGTCGATTACGTGTGCTTCAAATGTGATAAAAATATTTTTCTCTCATTCTGTAAAATAGTCACGTTTTTTAGCATAGAAAAATGCCTCCTCCTGGACATATATATAAATGTATGCCCACAGACAATATTTTTAACCTACTTTTCATAGTTGTCCGGTGTATTTTAGTTTACGCAGAAAAAAATTCCCCAAAAGAAGACCGTTTATATTTAATAAAATATTATGTAAATTTACCTTTATGCAAAATTGATGAAAAATTCAATTTTTTTTACTCTTCTATTTCTCGAAGGAGAAACGAGGTTGAGTAAAATTTAATTTGTTAGATGCATAGAAATTGAGAATTGCGAATAAAGAAAGCTTTTTTCTCAATTTTTCAATTCTGTTAAATTAGTCATTTTCTCGAATAACAGAGAAATTGTAAATATAAAAATTTTATTACTATTTTTTATAATTATTATAAATTTTTTAAATTAATTTAATTTTTAATTAAAAGAATATAATTCAGCTAAGATAAATTTAAGTCGATGTTATCTTAAATTTTTATTATTGATAAATATACAAAATGGAAAGGGAGAGCAAAATTACTTGAGAAATTATAATGAAATGAAAAGAGAGAGATTCATTTTCGTTTGATATGGAAATATAGATATTTAAAGTTTAATTTTGTGTAATTACGTATGAAGCGCTTTTTTATTTCTATAATACTTTATTCCTGGAGGACTTGGCTTAATTACAAAGGCGGTCTCTGACCCGATATTTCAAAGCGACCATAAATGCCTCGTAGACTTCTGATTAACCTTAATTGCACCAAAGACGTGTGGAATAGGACTAAACCAGGCATTTACAATTTAGAAACACAAAGCAAGTGAAGTGTAATTGTAATTAAGCCGGTCCACAAGTTTTCATCCACTGGACAAGATGCTTATGGGTCTCGAAAAAAATTTTAAATCTTAATGTTTTTCCCCTCAAAACAAAGGTCGGTAAATTTCACATCAATTACGATCATCGAAATTTTAAAAACCAAGACACTGCATAAACACAACAAAAAATAGTAATAGGGGTCTTCCCCTACTTGTATCGGGGTATAAATTTTTTTCTACTCTTTTAGTTTATTTTTGTGCAAAAAAATTGCACTGAAAAAGTCTGCCTAAGAAAAATTGAATTTTTTTGAAAATTTTTTTTTTACGAAAATCGCTTAAATGGTCATAAAATTGGTGTTCCTCTACTCGGATCGGGCTGGCAATTTTTTTCTACACTTTTAGGTGTATTTTGTGCAAGAAAATGCAATAAAATAGTCTGCCTAAGAAAAATTGAATTTTTTTGAAAATTTTTTTTTTTACGAAAATCGCTTAAATGGTCATAAAATTGGTGTTCCTCTACTCGAATCGGGCTGGCAATTTTTTTCTACACTTTTAGGTGTATTTTGTGCAAGAAAATGCAATAAAATAGTCTGCCTAAGAAAAATTGAATATTTTTGAAATTTTTTTTTTTACGAAAATCGCTTAAATGGTCATAAAATTGGTGTTCCTCTACTCGGATCGGGCTGGCAATTTTTTTCTACACTTTTAGGTGTATTTTGTGCAAGAAAATGCAATAAAATAGTCTGCCTAAGAAAAATTGAATTTTTTTGAAAATTTTTGTTTTACGAAAATCGCTTAAATGGTCATAAAATTGGTGTTCCTCTACTCGGATCGGGCTGGCAATTTTTTCTACACTTTTAGGTGTATTTTGTGCAAGAAAATGCAATAAAATAGTCTGCCTAAGAAAAATTGAATTTTTTTGAAAATTTTTTTTTTACGAAAATCGCTTAAATGGTCATAAAATTGGTGTTCCTCTACTCGGATCGGGCTGGCAATTTTTTTCTACACTTTTAGGTGTATTTTGTGCAAGAAAATGCAATAAAATAGTCTGCCTAAGAAAAATTGAATATTTTTGAAATTTTTTTTTTTACGAAAATCGCTTAAATGGTCATAAAATTGGTGTTCCTCTACTCGGATCGGGCTGGCAATTTTTTTCTACACTTTTAGGTGTATTTTGTGCAAGAAAATGCAATAAAATAGTCTGCCTAAGAAAAATTGAATTTTTTTGAAAATTTTTTTTTTACGAAAATCGCTTAAATGGTCATAAAATTGGTGTTCCTCTACTCGGATCGGACTGGCAATTTTTTTCTACACTTTTAGGTGTATTTTGTGCAAGAAAATGCAATAAAATAGTCTGCCTAAGAAAAATTGAATTTTTTTGAAAATTTTTTTTTTACGAAAATCGCTTAAATGGTCATAAAATTGGTGTTCCTCTACTCGGATCGGGCTGGCAATTTTTTTCTACACTTTTAGGTGTATTTTGTGCAAGAAAATGCAATAAAATAGTCTGCCTAAGAAAAATTGAATTTTTTTGAAAACTTT